AGACATCTAAGTATGTAACATAGAAGTAGACATCTAAGTATGTAACATAGAATTAGACATTCATGTATGTAACATAGCAGTAAACATTCATGTATGTAACTTAGAAGTAGACATCCATGTATGTAACATAGAAGTAGACATCCATGTATGTAACATAGAAGTAAACATTTATCTATGTAACATAGAAGTAGACATTCATGTATGTAACATAGAAGTTAACATTCATGTATGTAACATAGAAGAAGACATCATGTATGTAACATAGAAGTAGACATCCATGTATGTAACATAGAAGTAGACATCCATGTATGTAACATAGAAGTAGACATCCATGTATGTAACATAGAAGCAGACACCCATGTATGTAACATAGAAGTAGACATCCATGTATATAACATAGAAGTTGACATCAATGTATGCAACATAGAAGTAGACATCCATGTATGTAACATAGAAGTAGACATTAATGTATGTAACATAGAAGTAGACATCTAAGTATGTAACATATAAGGAGACATCCATGTATGTAACATAGAAGTAGACATTCATGTATGTAACATAGAAGTAAACATTCATGTATGTAACATAGAAGTAGACATCATGTATGTAACATAGGAGTAGACATCCATGTATGTAACATAGAAGTAGACATCCATGTATGTAACATAGAAGAAGACATTCATGTATGTAACATAGAAGTGGACATCTAAGTATGTAACATAGAAGTAGACATCCAAGTATGTAACATAGAATTAGACATTCATGTATGTAACATAGAAGTTAACATTCATGTATGTAACATAGAAGTAGACATCCATGTATGTAACATAGAAGTAGACATCCATTTATGTAACACAGAAGTAGACATCCATGTATGTAACATAGAAGTAGACATCATGTATGTAACATAAAAGTAGACATCATGTATGTAACATAGAAGTAGACATCATGTAAGTAACATAGAAGTAGACATTCATGTATTTAACATAGAAGTAGACATCATGTATGTAACATAGAAGTAGACATCATGTATGTAACATAGAAGTAGACATCCAAGTATATAACATAGAAAAAGACATTCATGTGTGTAAAATAGAAGTTAACATTCATGTATGTAACATAGAAGCAGACATCATGTATGTAACGTAGAAGTAGACATCCATGTATGTAACATAGAAGTAGACATCCATGTATGTAATATAGAAGCAGACATCCATGTATGTAACATAGAAGTAGACATCCATGTATGTAACATAGAAGTAGACATCATGTATGTAACATAGAAGTAGACATCATGTATGTAACATAGAAGTAGACATCCAAGTATAAAACATAGAAAAAGACATTCATGTGTGTAAAATAGAAGTTAACATTCATGTATGTAACATAGAAGCAGACATCATGTATGTAACATAGAAGTAGACATCCATGTATGTAACATAGAAGTAGACATCCATGTATGTAACATAGAAGTAGACATCATGTATGTAACATAGAAGTAGACATCCATGTATGCAACATAGAAGTAGACATCATGTAAGTAACATAGAAGTAGACATCCATGTATACAACATAGAAGTAGACATCCATGTATGTAACATAGAAGTAGACATCCATGTATGTAACATAGAAGTAGACATCCATGTATGTAACATAGAAGTAGACATCCATGTATGTAACATAGAAGTAGACATCCATGTATGTAACATAGAAGTAGACATCCATGTAATAACATATCGGAAGCAGACATCCATGTATGTAACATAGAAGTAGACATCATGTATGTAACATAGAAGTAGACATCATGTATGTAACATAGAAGTAGACATCCATGTATGTATAGAAGCAGACATAGTAACAAAGACAGACATGTGTGTAAAATAGAAGTTAACATTCATGTATGTAACATAGAAGCAGACATCATGTATGTAACATAGAAGTAGACATCCATGTATGTAACATAGAAGTGAGACATCCATGTATGTAACATAGAAGTAGAACATCATCATCATGTAAGTAACATAGAAGTAGACATCCATGTATACAACATAGAAGTAGACATTCATGTATGTAACATAGAAGTAGACATTCATGTATTTAACATAGAAGTAGACATCATGTATGTAACATAGAAGTAGACATCCATGTATGTAACATAGAAGTAGACATCCATGTATGTAACATAGAAGCAGACATCCATGTATTTAACATAGAAGTAGACATCCATGTATGTAACATAGAAGTAGACATCATGTATGTAACATAGAAGTAGACATCCATGTATGTAACATAGAAGTAGACATCCATGTATGTAACATAGAAGTAGACATTATATTATTGTTGCACTTTAATTATAGCTCAAAGTATGGGAGAATAAGTAATTTCTGTTTGTGTGAATGTGAAAACATTTTCATTTATATATATTTTTAGTGAACAGATTAAATATGTAACGTTTGAGAAGAGATTAACAGTGATATCATATTTGATTTTCGTTCGAAGTTGACAGGCACCTCGGATTTTTATCGTTTCTCTGTCGACACGGTGAGAGATAAGTGTCTGCACGAGGTGTTGGTTGATCCTGAACTCCAGGTAAAGAATGGGACGAAGAACATGTCTGTCTATGATAATGTTGTGGCCGAGGCTTGTCTGAACGACTGCAATGGCAAAGGAACATGTACAAATGGTAATTAAGACACCTAGCTTTGTAAAAATATATATTTGGGTGATACAGATTATTTCTTTTAGATTTCCATGTAAGAGAATATTTGGGTCCGAAATAGTCTTTTGGATAGGACGGTGTAGTGTTAACAATTTCAGTAATATAATATTTGATAATATCCACAAATTTGAAAAAAACATAAATGCTGATGAAATTGAATAACTCGTTTTGTCAGTTTGCAAACATACTTCCATTAGTTTTACAACAGAGATCATACGACGTCATTCAACCGGTTAGTCGATTTTAAAAATGAAAACATTTAAGAAAGAGAAAACAAGACCAAAAGTAAACCAAAAGCAACCCCCCTTCGTTTTGATTTCTGGATACTGCGAGAGAATGTCATGTGACGTCTTATACAATGTTAACAGGAGACTGTGTATGTCAAACCAACTATGGTGGCTCTTATATTCTTATTCTGAAATACATGGGTTTGAGCATCTGTCATGTTACGTCCCTTACAATTTTAACAGGTGGATGTGTATGCCAATCCAACTATGGCGGCTCGGACTGCTCTGTTGACCTTACAACACCCCCCACGGCTCTCTGAAACAGAAGCTTTTGTCACATGTGACATGTCACGTGATGCATGTGACGTTGTGTCCCTTAGAGGCGAGACGTTTGTAGACGGGGTATCAACTTGCTTGGTTGAACAGATCAGGGTAAATATATAGTTATATTAACGCTAGGCATTCATATTTTTATCAACTGGAAGGTTCTCCAAGGGTTGACAATGTTACTTGCAAAATATGTCATTGCTTATATTTGATTTGTGTTTCAAGAGGGGAGATTACCAGTAAACATAACACAGCATACCATCCTAGAAAAGTCTTTTGAGAAGTATGTTTAATTCTGTAACTATATACATTCATTACTTGTTAAACCTTTCAACTCCGTGATTATAAGCACATAGTGATGGTGCAGTCCTTGCTTGCATTTATCATTTAACAGCCACGACCCGGCGTCCACAGATAATGGCATGATAATACCCTTGTGATGTCATCTTTTCAGGCTAGAAAATCAGGACAAGAAATCATTGTATCAGAAGTATATGTGGCAACAGTTGTCAGCCTCAGCCATGCCCAGTGCAAAATCGTTACCAGTGACAGCACCGGAAGTGAGGAGTATGTGCGTCTCTACCGGATATCCATTGCCAACAGTGCTGGTAACTATAGTGACAGTGTGGGCCTGATCGTGTTTAACAGTACGTGTATCCAAGCTGAAGGTGGTCGGGAAGGAAAGTTCAACTGGACAGTGAAGGTATATAAACTAAATTTAATATATAAGTCAGTAACTAAGTAACAACCTTTAATCGTTAATATTAGAAACGTAAAAGAAACAAAAGCACTCCTTTAACCACAGTTAACCTTGTACTCCAGTTGTGCAAAGCCTGATTAAGTTGTTACTGAATTTGAGTACACTAGAGAGTCATGAAGCTTCCTATGCCACACTAGGGCCCCTACTGCCTGGACAAAGGGACCTGTGTGCCTCACGGAGAGAGACAGTCTGGAAACAACTGTCTGGTGTGTGACGTGTCCAACAACCATCACAGATGGAAAAATGGATCTGGTAAAGTGCTTTATTTCCCATCAGATGTGTCATTTTATATAAATTGGATACCGTCCTCCCTTTGAAAGGATTAATCATATGAAAACAACACCCGAATAAACCCCCATCTATATATATGATAATAACAGTAACGAATCCCTTCAATAAGGCTTTAAATATTTACTCATTCACCACCACACCCTTTATCATAATTATACGTATTTTGCTATGTCATTAACTTTTGTTTATGAGCCACTTTCAAAGAGCATTGACACAGGTCTTCGTGAAAAGATAGGCACACTCTGTCCTCACCATTGTCAAAATTATTTTCAAAAACATATGGAAAGGCCATCTGGAAAACATGAAACAGTCAAAGTTAGTACCTAATGAATTGCATCAGACATTATGTTTGTCACTGAAGCGTCGATTGTGGGAATGGCCTTCGCGTGTCTTCCATAAATCTTTTGAAAGCGTTCGAAATGTCTTGAACGTAAAAACTATTATCGAATAACTTTCGACGAATATCCGTTTGACGCTCTTTTAAATCTCCGTGAATAATATGCTCGATTGTACCTCAAAAGTTATGTATTTTAAGCTATTGATGGCAAGAGAACAAGTGCAACAATGTATGTTTCAGAGTCGAGATGCCAGAGTGAGAATGGACAGCTTCTTCTTATATCTGTAGCTGCATCTGTCGGGGGTGTCGTCCTCCTCATAATCATCGTCGTTCTTGCGTTAGTCTGTGCTTGCAAACGGAGTAAAAGAGCAGGTAATTGACCGTACCATAAAACTAGATGTAGTGGATCAAGATGAAGAAAGTTTAAAATTTAACTTTTGCCCTCACGATATGTGGACACGCCATAAACTACATACTGTCTAACCACGTTACAAAATAGATAAATGATCAATTGAAATGCATTTTCCTGTTTCTTGACACGGTAATCCTCAGAGTTTGAGATTTTTATCAATAAAATGACATCAAAAGTCAACCGTGTGGGATATTCGGCTTGTGAACCTTTCTCAGATATTCCGATTTCTTTCTGTCACAGGGGAGAAGAACAATGCCATGAGGAAAGTGCTCACGTAGGAATGACCACATCACACTGCTCTGCAGCCTGCACACTACCAATAAAAATGCCTTTACTCGTTTGGGTGATGTTTGATTGTATCATAAATAAAATCAATCATAAATAAAAACATGAATTATTTCACGGAAAGTAAAAAATTATGTTAGGGCAGGATTGGAGGATTACACTTGGAAGCCTTTCAATATGTACCTTGGAGATATTTGAAATCGGAAAAGTTTTTAAATGTCATAACAAGCAGTTTGCGCCTAATATTGAAGATTTTGTTTTGGATTGTCTGAATTCATGGTTTATACTGGTCGACAGCGTTCAGTACTGAAACCAGTGAGGTTGTGTTATTCCTGTCGAAATAGTTTAGAGAATATATTTTATATATTTCATGTTTACACTGTTTTGAGGGAGGCATATTATTTTCCGAGATACCGGCGTTTACCAACTTTGTGTAAACGGAATAGAAAATGCTTCCGTCAAATGAACTCTGTCTGGGCAAAATCGTACAGCATCGTAACGTCTTTTCTTATCAATAATTGCATAACTTTGTAACACCATCACCGGACACATGTTGTATGCAGCTGTTGTGATGTTCTGTTTTAGAGCAGGACATGTTTACCCTCTTCGGGAACACGGATGTCATCACTGATTTTTCGTGGTAAAGTGATATGATTTTTCACACCTATTTTGCCCTTTATACCAAATTGACTGGGAGTCAAAATTGGGGATTCTCTTGCACTCACATTTTATATTGTATATAGGCCGGAAGCCGTCAGTACAATGAAACATCAAGATTGTAATCAAGTAATCTATAAGGCTGGAAAGTGCGCTTTGCCAGTAGTAGGGTGTTTGTCGACTTTTGTCTGTCGAAACAGCAAAGGGAAAACATTTATTAACCTACTCAGAGGACTTCTAGCAGTTTTCAGTGTTTTAATAATGGAAAGGGGTTTGTAGCTCCCATATAGAATCTCTAAATGATCAATTTAGATAATGTCATTAAACAAAGCACGATAAAAACATTTCTCTGATCAAATAAAAGCTCTTCTCGAATAGAGTCCTACTTCTTGTAAATCAAAAGCATGTCTTCACGTATGACCATCAATAGTTGTGACACAGACAAGTGATTCGTGACCACCAGATGATGTAGTCGTAAAATCGAAAATTAGAATCCGTAAAATAAATTTTGCTTCTGGCAAAGATAATTCGATCGCTTGCATTGATTGAAAAAGTGAAATATCCCAACTATCAGTTATAATCTACACCATGTCTTTAATGTCAGGTCAATTATTGATTTACAATACCTATCGTTTTCCGTCTAATCATATTGTATTGTCATGCATAGTTTTAACCAGGACTATATTAACCGCCACAAAACTTATGCTTTGATACCGAGAATCAGATATTCGTGGAAGAATGATATATGCTCCAATATTATGCTCTAGTAAAATCATAACCTTTTATCTTGTATTTGTGATATTTACATTGCGCTATGTACTGAGGTTCATCTTCTCACTGATGTATGCTTTTCAAATTAAATCTTTTGTATTTATTTATGATTTAGTCCTCTTTACTCCGTGAGGAGCATAGGGCCTCAACAGTGGTCCTCCACGCTTGCCTGTCAGTGGCTATGCTCTTGGTAGCCTCCCAGGTTAAACCGGTTTCCCTCAGTTCCTTTTCCAGGCTTCGTCTCCAGGTATGTTTTAGACGTCCTCTTTTCATCTTGCCTTGTGGGTTCCAGTCAATGGCTTGTCTGGTGATATCACTTGGTCTGAGCAGAAACTGGGTCTTGATTCGCTGCTTCCCACAAGTCAAGGTCAGAGACTTTATCGAACCATTGGATGCGGAGGATCTGTCGGCGACACTTGTTGAGGAAAGTCTGTATTTTGATGGAGCTTGTCTTGATTACTCTCCACGTTTCCGATCCATAAAGCAGCACAGAACGAACATTTGAGCTGAACATCCAGATCTTGGTTTTCAGGGATAGGACAGTCCTTTTCCAGATTGTTCTTAAGCATATTGGGCTTCTCTGATCCTAGCCTTAATATCCGCATCTGTGCCCGGTGACGTCTTCAATCACTTGTCCGTTGATCTGTAATGGATCTTGTTTGTTTTGGGTCCACAGAATTTTCTTCTTATCTCTGTTTATCTTAGGCCGACTCGGCTTGAGGCAGATCCCAGTGCATCCAGCTTGTCTTGCATGTTCTGGAGTCTGTGTGCTAGGAGCGCTAGGTCATCTGCAAAGTCTAGGTCCTCGAGTCTACTGGTAAGAGTCCATTGTATACCTTTCCCAGTGTCATAGGCTTCCTTGTAACCCAGTCAAGCACCACCAAGAATAGTAGAGGTGATAGCAAGCAACCTTGTGTAACTCCTTTTGTTACCTGGAAATCTTCCGACAATTCTCCATAATGGACGACTGTGCTTGAAAAAGCACTGTACAGCTGTTTAATTAACATATATTCACTACATTGTCATTTATAAACAGCAAAAGTCACAGCACCAAATTTAAAGGCAGGCAATTTGTTAGTCACATTACACAGTTACAATTTATCATACAGATCAACTTCCCTCAGGTAGTTCACTATCAAATGAGCGCTCACGCGGGAGAACAGATCTTTCAGATTTGTTGCATCATAACGTGAGTCCCTTGCAGACGATAAGTCCACGCAGTCAAGCAGAATATGCTTGATGGTGAAAATCTTATTGCAAGAGACACACATGGGGGTTCCATCCCCATCCGTTTTCAGCAGATAGTCATGAGTAAACCGACTGTGGCCAATACGACATACAGTAGAACACGGATATAACGAACTCCAAGGGACCAAGAAATTTAGTTCGCTATATCCGTTGTTCGTTAAAATTACCTCATCACGTCTTGACTGACAACCATAGTAGGTATAACCAATTGTTGGCTTCAATTCATACAGTGTATTTCTTCCTACTTGAGTGTCCCACCTTTTTTGCATGAGGTCCCGAGTATAGCTTTTGATAGTGGGTTTGAAATCACTGTACGGGATCAGCAGTCGAGATAAGTGCTTGTCAAGAGCTGCTTTTGCTGCAGCATCGGCTTTTGTGTTACCTGCTATGCCGACGTGACCCGGCAACCAGCAGAGGACGATGTCACATTGGCCAGTAGAGAGGTCGTTGTAAAGTTCTAAAATGTCCAGGATGATTGGGTGACTTGAAGTAACATTTTGAAGTGCTTCAAGGCAAGATAATGAATCTGTGAAAACAATGAAGTTTTTGGAATGGTTCTGCTGTTTAATGTAGGTCAAAGCTGAGAGGATAGCTTTGGCATCGGCAGTGAAATGGAACTGTTCTCGGGAATCCTAGAGGAGACAGTTTTTCGATCCAATGACTGTAGCACTGGCAACTTGGCCCTTCATGCTTGGGTCCGTCTGCTAAAATGGATCTATGGGTGTCATACTTGGAACGTAACTGGTTGTCTTCCTGCTGGAACACTAAAGGATTTTTTTCGGACTTTTTGAGTTTAGTGAGGGTAAGATCGACCTGTGGTTTCACCATCTGCCAGTCGGTAAGGTGCTATGATATTGAGATCAATTTTAGCTGCAGATATGTGTGGTTGAATTCTGATTCCAAGTGGTGGAATCAGGCTTGGTTGTTTAGGAAACAGGTTTTCATAGAGAGGGTTGAAAACTCAATTGTATGCTGGATTGGACTGATTTGAAGGTAGTTTAGTTATATATTGAAGTGAAAGTTAAATCCGCTGTTGTTCAAAAGAAGGTTCGTTAGCCTGTGCATATAGAATCTAACTTTTCTAAATTACTGTTGCAGGCTCCACCATAAACAATGGAGCCGTAGTCTAGTTTAGAGCGAACCAAAGATCTGTACAAGTGAAGGAGGGTAGTCTGATCCCCTCCCCACTCTGTATTTGAAACGACTTTTAGTAAGTCCAGAGCCTTCAAGCACTTGGTTTTCAAATATTTTATGTGTGGTAAGAATGTCAGGTGACGGTCGAATATGAGTCCCAGGAATTTGGCCTCTTCTACTACCTTGATGGGAGTACCATCTAAAGATAGGTCTGGATCCTTGTGTGGTTTGTATTTACGACAAAAGTTAATACAATTTGTTTTGGATTTTGAAAACTTAAAGCCATTTTCATTGGCCCAGTTTTGGAGTTTGTTAAGGCAGATTTGTAGCTGCCTTTCTATTGCGTGCATGTTCTTACCACGACATGAAATACTGAAATCGTCCACGAAAAGGGACCCATCAACACAACTGTTGAAGACGTTAGTGAGGCTGTTAATTTTGATGCTAAAAAGGGTGACAGACAGGATGCTGCCATGAGGGACGCCCTGATCTTTCCACGTTGTATCGTATGCTTTTTCTAAATCGAAAAAGATAGATACAGTATGTTGTTTGTTGACGATGGAATTTTTTATGAAAGATTCCAGACGCACCAGATGGTCAATAGTACTTCGTTTTTTTCGGAAACCACATTGGAGGTCACTAAGGAGGTTATTGGTCTCCAAGTACCAGATTCATCGAGTGTTCACTATGCGTTCCATGGTTGTACAAACACAGGTAGTTAGTGATATAGGACGGTAGTTTGAGGGATCAGTATGATCCCGGCCAGGTTTTGGTATAGGGATGATAATGGCGTTGTGCCACGAAGGAGGAAAGTTGCCAGTTGTCCAAATGTCATCAAATATATGGAGTTGAGTTTCCAAACTTG